ATTGTAGAGTAATTCTGTATAGGAGTAATAATTATATAATCATGACCTTGTGATGAGTTATTGCAGGACTCACATAGATTTTTCAAGACTTGCTGGCCTCTGAGCATGGAGTCAGCAGCAGAGAGGAAGAGCTTCAAAGAGGTGTGTGTGGGAGTGATGTAGAAGAGGACATGAGAAGTGGTTATTCTGTCCGTGGGAGAGAGGAGGGAGCAGCACCACTCTTATTTTTCCCACCCCATAATTTCAGGCAAATCCAGTTCTTGGTGGCTGCTCTTCCACAGGACTGGCACCATCCTTGAGAAGAGGATGCCTCTTGGTTGACAGCTGAAAGTTGAGTTAAGGGAGCTCTCCAGAGGGTGCTCTGCTCTGCACAGGGCACCTGCATGGTCACCTTGCTCCTCTTCATTTGTTACTGGGCTGCCTGGAAGGAACTTCTGGTTGGCTGGTCTGACATCGCTCAAAGATGAGGGAAAACATGATAATGAGATCTAATTAATAATGAATAAAATGATGGCATATAATTAATATCAATCAAGAAGAATGTAGGGGAAATGGGTCTTGTGAGAAATTTTTTTCTGCCAAATTTTAGAAGACATAGATACTGGGTAAATGTGTTAAGTATGTTAAGGTTTTGTCCTAGAACAACATGGCTCTAAAAATGTGATCATGATAAGTGGATTAAAACCTTCCTTTACATATCAAAAAGCAGTTGTCAAGGAAAAGCCTCAAAGGTAGGAGGGCTCTCTTGAAAGCCTGGTGATGCTCAGTGTTCTCGTTTGATTTGGAGCATGCATGAGTTTAAACCTCACTTAATTCACAGGGGGTGTGGACATTAGAAAGAGAGTAAATAGTATTGAGGGTGGGAGAACTCTGTAAAGCTGTCTGGAGTTTTACTTGTTTTCTCTTCAAATAAAATTTGTTTTCTTACATATTTTTTATTGTAGTGTTCTGCAAGGTTGTACCAGTAGGGCAGGAAGGGACTGCACAGCCTCCAGGTGAGGTGTGATGTGACCAGGAGCTTACTGTGGTCTTGGGAGCTGCCAGCAGAAGTAGTGAAGATTAGAGCACAAGCTGATTTTTATCTCTGTATGCATTTCTGCACTAAAATGGAGACTTCAGTTCTGTTCTCAAAAGGGTGTTTAAAACCTGGGGAGGTTGTTACAAAGATTCAAGGCCAGGAGAAAAAAAATGCCAGAGCATGAGAGACATAGAGTTCTCAGTCTGTTTAACTTGTCAAAATAAGATTGAGAGATAACTCATCTGCACTGCAGAAAAGTCTGTATAGTGAGAACACAAAGCAGCTCTTGGGGTGGAGAAGGACACTAAAAAAACCTGATGTGTGAAAACTGAAACCAGGCAAACTTAAGCCACATCTCTAAATGTCAGGTAGTAAAATAAACTGTGCAGGCAAACAGCAGATTCCTCATCTCTTGATATTCTTCAAACCCAGAGTGGATAGTGCTTTAGAAGATATTCTTTAGCCAAACATAAATTGTTTGGCTGAACAGAGCAAAATCAAAGCACCTGTCAACACTGAGAACTTGGCAGAGTGACTCCTGGGCCCTTCTGGTTTGTTGGCGTCAGCGAGGTGCTGTGTATCTTCACCCTGGATATTTGACCAAAAAATTTCTTCTTCTCAAGGTCATCCTGAACTAAAATCCTCTCTTAGTGAGGTGTTGCACTGCAGGCTTGACTGACTGCTTAACCTCTGTTGTTTGCTGCTTAATTGGAAGAAGTGCAGGGAATAAATCTGGTGACGCTGCAGAAAATGTCGATACTGCTCTTACTTGTTTCAGATACCACTGACAAATTAAGACAAATGATTTTACCAGGCAACACCCACACAGATGCATATCATTTACCTTCTGATTGGCAAAGGTGTCGAAACACAAGGATTTCAGGAAGGGGAGGAGGCACAGCCCTTATGCCATGCTCCACGCTGACCAGAGAAGGTTGATGGTAGGTGACTGTTGCTTGTAAAATATTTTTGGCTCACAGATGAAAAGTGCAGTGTCATCCATATTTATTTCCTTTCCAGATGTGCTATTCCTGATCAGTCCTCCTCTCCCAGGTGATGGGGATGGATAGTTTAGGAATCTGTACCTCCTTTCTGATGGCATTTCTGGTGCATATGGTGATCTCTTACCTGGTTTCAGTCATGCCTCTGGCTGCTGTGGTTTGGGAGCTTGCCTTTTTGACAAAACAAATTATTCCACTTCAGTTCAAAGGAAACATCCAGCAAAAAGAGACTGTAGAGGGAGAAAGGTTTCTCTGACCTTTCTCCAGAATAATGAGAGATCATTTGTAAGATGCAGGAGTTGCTGTGCATCTCTGTCTGGAAGAAGAGGGAGGAAGAAAGGATTTTTGTCCTTTATTCCCATTGCCTTGTTTTACAGAGATTCTTGATTAAACTTTTGCCATTTTTTCCTTTCCTTTTTTTTTCCTTTGTAATTTTTCCTTTTTTATTTTTTTTTAATCTGCTAAAGCAATCAAGACTACTAGAAAATGACCCACCCAGCAGTAGAAAGCTGTGCATGTGGAGCTCTACAGCTGAACTTGCCCTGTGCCAGCTAAATCTCTGGTAGAGTGCCCTGGTGCTCCCACAGCGCTGCCTTTCCTTGCCTTTGGGCCCTTCTGCTTTATTTCCCTGGCTTTCAATCAGGAGATATTTGATAGAATAGAGAAAGCACCTTGTGTTGCTCCAAACCCTTGCTCTGTCCCAGACCTCTCATTTGTTGCCAGCTGTGGATGAATAGTCTTTTAATTTAGGGTGTCTCTAGGCACATCTCATTAGACTGGGGAAAGAAGAGATTTTTTTTTTTTAAGCAGATATTGCATGGCTGGGCAATGGGGCATTTTTAATTTGTTTCCTGCATTTATGTCATTTGATGCTTTGACTCTGGCTGCCAGCAGAGCTCTTGTGAGGAGTAGCCTCAAAGGGCAGGAGGATGAGTGCTCTGAGTGCACAAGTGAAGGAAGGATGGGCACTGGTGCATGTGGGTGACTCAGATTGTTTGTGGAGGTGGATGCAAAACAAATGAAATGGACCATCAAGTCTGCCCGCATGGCTGTGGGATGTGCCCTCAGAGGAACCTGCAAACCCCATCAGAGGCTCCACTGAGCTGCACAAGGCTAAGCAGGGTCCATCAAAGGCAGCTGCTCTGCACGGGTTGGGAGAATAAGCATGGCCATTACACAGAGCTTCGCTTTTGTTGATGCCCGTATTGATATTCTTGCCTGAAGGTTTGGGTTTTGAAAGCACATGAGAAATATGTTTTACATTTGTGTGACTTCCTGATTTATACAATATGCTTCATGCCTTGCTCTAGGCACACAAACAGTACAAACTGTAGTTAATGTTAACCCAGAACGTGCAAATTCGATCCCCTTAGCTCAGAGGGACATGTGTACACAGGCTGCACCATATGTGGGGACAGCAGCTGGTCCAGAGCCCTGGGGCCAGCACGTTTACCCAGCTGGAAACCTCATGATAGTAGAGGAAAAGGTACTTTACAGCTGTATTGATAGGAGAATTTTTGTCTTTGCATTTCCATGTGGATATAATTGCAGAAGTGAGATAGGAAGTGTTTCTGATACCTTACGGAATTTTTTTTTCCAAAGTCCCTCTTCCCACCAAGATCTAAAGAAAAGTATTTTAGGTCAAGCAGCCTGCTACAAATAACAGTGTATTTTAGGCAGGTTATTACAGATACCCTCATATTTCCAAAGTAGTTCAGAAAGTGATTCACCAGAAGTTCCACCTGAATATGAGGAAGAACTTCTTCACTGTGTGGGTGCACTGGAACAGGTTGCCCAGAAAGTTGTGGAGTCTCCCTCACTGGAGATACTCAAGAACCGCCTTGACGCAATCCTGTGCAGCGTGCTCTAGGATGACCCTGTTCCAGCAGGGAGGGTGCATCACACGACCCACTGTGGTCCCTTCCAACCTTACCCATCCTGTGATTCTTTGAAAGATTTGCTTTCTTTGATATTTGGCAATCCTGAGTTCTCCAGACTCAATAGCTGGGTCATTTCTCCTCTGGAGGTGGTACTCAAAAAAGTTGGAAGGTTTCTGAGAGCACTGTGGGTCAGAGGTTTGTTGCCTGAATCCAGGGTAATGACTGAGCATTCTTTAGAGGATTTAGATAATTTTGCTTTGTTCAGAAAACTTGTAGCAGATGTGTTTCAGGATGAGTGCTCTATGTGGGATGAAATCTGGAGCTTCCTAACACCAGCTACAGCAATTAATAGTAATGGTATTCATTACATAACATGGTTTGTTCTGAGAAACAGACTGCTTGAGATGGAGGATGAAAATAGCAGCTGTTAATTTCAGAGGGCTGAGCCTCTGAAGACTGCACCCAGGAGGAACCAGAACCTACTTAATTCCCTCTGTGCTGTGGCTGAGGGCGTCTGTCAAGGGGAATAGTCCTCTCCAGGGTTTTCCACTGCTGGTGCCTTTCTGCTGCCACCAGGGAACACTTTGGTTGTGCCCAACTATTCCCCTGTGGCAGGTCTGGGAGGGCTCCTGCTTTGGCAGCACCTCTGGTGCTACCTGGCCTTTTCCTCCACTCTGCTCACTCAGTGCCCACCAGGACCTGCCACTCTTCTTGCTGTTCCACATGACCTGAGGCAGCAACATGGCATTTGGGAAAGGCTTGGAGGCATCAGCTGTGCCCCTGGTTGCTGCTGCTGTGTTCCCTGACTGGGTAGCTCTGGGTGTAGCCAGCTGGTGTGGCTGCCCTCTCAATGGATAATTAATTGGTTGGAGCAGGTAGGGAGGGTGTGCCTGCTGTGGGTATCTGCCAGGCATGGTGGAGCAGTGAGTGTGTTCCAGAGGTGACTCGGGAGCTGCTGATGAAGCAGGGCTGGGTAAGGGAAGTGTGTATGACAGATGCCAGGCTTGTCTTCCAAAAGACCTCCTCTGCTTCTCCTTGGCGCTCTCAGTGCAGAAGGCTCTGGGAATAGAGGCTGACTGCCTTTTCTCCCCGTGTTCCTAGATGGTGATGGTCGGAGACTGAAAGGAGCCATCCAGAGGAGCACAGAGACTGGCCTGGCTGTGGAAATGCCCAGCAGGACCGTCCGTCAAGCCAGCCACGAGTCCATCGAGGACAGCATGAACAGCTATGGATCAGAGGGAAAGTAAGTCAGAAGGGAGCTGGGTAATCACTCGTGGGATGCACTGTCCCTGTACCTATTAATTTTCCTCTGGCATGATGGACAATGTGTTTTTCTGACTTGCCTGTGCTGCAGGTGTACTGCCTGTCCAATTAGAGCAAGTCTCTCTGTCTGCAAAGCTGGCACATACTCCACTGTTTATATACTTATTTTAGTGTCCTCATTACTCTGAGCTGAAGCAGATACCCATTGCTTTTAACCACTTTGTCTTTGGATGAGTAATTCAGGGTCAATAGCAGAGGCTCATTACTGCTCATAAATGATAAGCCAGTAGTTTTTAATGTTGCACAATAGTTGTCCATTTCCCCTGTTTCAAAATAGCCCTTTGGTTTGGGGCAGGCAGAAGTTTCAAGGTGCTGAAAAGGGTGAAAGTAATAAAATACATGATAGCATAGCAAAATTCTGATATCAAAATATATATTTTGGAGCCTGTGTGTACTTTGTAAAAAACTTAATTTTGTTTCATCTGAGTTACAGTGTCCTAAAAATGTGTTTTAGAGATTTTTGACTCCAAGAAAAGTTACTGAATGCTTGCATTTAGACTTTATACCAGAGTGCAAAGCAGGAGATATTTAGGCCAGAACTCTGGGACCTGACTTGTCTCCAGTTCTGGTTTTTGTATTTCCATTACTTGAAGCCATATATGGAAATTTAATTATTTTACTAACATGACTGTCCATGGGAATCTTTGGAAGCAAAAAACCCACAGTGTTTAAAGAAGAAGGCAGTACATACCATCCGATTTTGTGCTTTCTAGGTGTGTGGCTAAAATGTTTCCATACCTAAAAGGTGTCCTCTTCAAGCCAAGGACTACACTTGGCATCACTCTGTATGCTCTCTCGAGTCCTGTGTGGTATTCCAAGTACACTGTACAGCTGAAATGCTGAGATAGTCCAAAGGCACTCTCAATTAATGTGATTCTGGTGTTAAATAAGTAACAAGCTGTAAATTAAGAGAGACTTTCTTTAGCTTTAGAAGTAGGCTAATCCTGGAAAGGCATCATAGAGCTGTGCTGAAGGTTCAAAATAGTAATGAGGCACAGACTGCGATAGCAATCTTGTCACTCCAAAGCTGTGATGTACCTTATCTCTTCTGTGAGCTGCTGTCTCCAGGGAAATATTCCTGCTACACCAGCACAGTCCTGTGGTTTGGAGTTCTGCCTCCCCTACTAGATGCAGAGGATTAGTGATTAAGTTCATTCCCAGGGCAATGAGGAGCAGGAATCTGCTTTCATGCAGAGCAAAATTCTTTCTTTTTCATATTTACATAGCTTCTCCTCCTGGGAAGGGGTGTAGTTCCCTGAATGGTCTGTGTCCTCCCACTGCTTATCTCAGCTGCTTTGTTGGGCTTTTGTGGAGGGGGGAGTATTTCTGCCAACAAAATACTGCACCTCTACAAGTGCTGTCTCACCCTGAAGGCAGGTGACATGTAGCTATCAGCTGGACAGAAAAAGAAAAAGCTGTCTAGCAATGCAATTGTCTTTATTAGAACAAGCCTAAGGTTTGGTATTCCAGCCTTGAACGCTGCCAGACCATCCTTGCCAGCCCTCGGCCAGGGATGGGGTGGTTTCTTCTCTTCTCTAAAAATTGTGATTAAGTGGTTCCTGGATGCTTTGTTCCTGGGTGGGATAATTAATCTCTTCTGAGAACCCGGTGGGAATTGCAGGTATCTGTCTGAGCCACAAGTGATAAGCAAACAGGACTGAGAGTACAAAGAGCTAAGAGGGCTCAATTCTCTTGAAACATGGTGGGAGGGGAGTTTCTCTGCTTTCTTTTCCTGCAGCAAAGAATGGAATTGTTTGGGGAATAGCTTTGAGGAACAGAAATGTGTTCTCCTAAATCAGATTTCTCTTGACCTCTCTCGTTTGCTGTAGCTGTCTTCCCAGGGAGGCAGAATGAAGATTCATATGTCTCTGTTAGCTGTCGCAAGTTGATTTTCTTTCTAATAAAAGCTGGGCTTGTGACTGGTGCAGATTCTCCCAGGTCAGAGAGTTCTCAGCAGTGACTGTCAAACCCCTGGTTTTCAGCAAGGCTGTTCTAGTTCTTTCCACCCATGCATCCCTTTGGTGTGTCCACACCTGGAAAAAGATGGATTCAAAACCTCTCAACTTCCATGTGTTCTTATAATCCTTATCAATTTAAGGACTAACAGGGCAACTTCCAAAGGTGGCACGCTGAACTGATCAAATGTTTGGTGAAACTTTGCTGCAGCAGGCCTAAATACCTGCCCTCAGCCATACAAACTGCTTTTGGAAAGTGTTGCTCACTGACTGCTTTTTCATGGCTGTTGCAGGGAGCTGCTCTGTGCTAGTGCAAGGTATCACAGTTAAAGAGTGTTCTGAAGGGCATGGTTTTGAGCAGTGCTGCTTTCATGTGAGCACCAGAGTGCATAAAATCCAGATTTCTTTTTCATGGAGAGGCTTATTATGTAGGGATATACCTCTGAGGTATGTTAGGCCTTCTTTTGAATACTCCCTTTACCTGAAGATGAAGTATACTGGAGACTGCCTGGGCTAGATGATGTATCTCCTGGAATTAAAGCTCATATAGCATGCCAGGAAAAGCTGACATTGTCACCACACTGCTTCATGTAAACTTTTGCCAGATGAGAAGTCCTCCAGCCTTCTTATCCAGACTTTCTATTGCATAGTGGTTGTGCACTAGTATAGGAAATTAATATAATAAAACTCAATGTGAGAGTTTGTAGAAGGAGAAGCCGATATTTACACTGAACAAAGCTGTTTTCAGTTGTTCCCATGTCCAGGTTTCATTCCCTCACGCTCTCACCACCCCATGTGGGCACCGTGCCTCATCAATCCAGGTGCTGGAGCCAGGCTGGGTTGTGTGCTGCAGGGAGGACATGGGACACCATCTGTCAAGCCCTCGCTGTGTCTGCTGAGTTGTTCTTCACAACAGACTGGCTCTTAGACTGTTTTTCTTACACTTTCTAGGACTTACCTGCTATTTTGGAGTGATCTTTCACCTCAGGGTCTTACTCATTTTCATCTCTGTAGATCCCAAGCAGCACTGCCACCTTTTTGTTCCCTTTTTTGGGAGATCTTTTTGGCTACAGTCTGCCATCAAACAGGGTATGGAAGTGATGTGTTCTGTAACCTTGTTGTCTGTTCTTCCCCTGTCACTGGAGAACAGATCTGCTGCAGCCAGGTTGGTTGTGCTTTCACATACACAGATGTTTCCATTCATAATTCATCCAAAACAATCTCAGCACTGGTTACAAATCCTACAGCAGTGAATATTGTCTTCTACGTCTATTCTTAAAGATTCGCTTGAGAAAACCGTTGCCCACTGTAGTAAGTGCCTGCGGGGTAGTCTCAGGACACCAGGATTGCTGCAAGGATACAATTCCGAATATAGGAATAACTCACAAACAGCCCTGTGAGATTCAGCAGAATCTCAGCTCCATCCTGGCTTGTGCACCATCTACATCTTGTTTTGGCTGGGTTTTGCTGCAGCTGCACGAGACCATGTACAGCATTCAAAAAGCAGTAGATTCTGGACTTGCATGTAACTTGTTCCTGCCAAGCACTTTTCTTCCTGAAAATGGAGCAGAAAGATAAAAATGGACCTGGAACAAAAGCCTGATAGCTGCCATAGTGCCTAGTGAGTGGTACTCATAGAGTTTTTGTTCTTGCTGGCTACTGCTGAGATGATTAAGTTCTGGAGAGATCAGGTGATTTTTACCTTAGGAAAAGCACAGCAGGTGGTGACTACAAAGACTTGGAGGATTGTTCTCGTATTATCTGAGATGAGTGTGCAGGTCCAGCAAGGAAGGTGTTGTTTGCCATCTCACCTCTCTTCTCCTTGGTGAGGGCAGTGCTGCCTGAGCTCTGCCCTGTTGTGCCCCAGGCAGGAGCAGGACACAGCCTGGCACAAGTGCCACCTGCAAGGGCATCTCGCACCTCTTGGCTTCCTTCTGGCTCTGCTACCAGCTCTCCTGCTGGGCTGGTATGAGCCAGCCCTGGGACTAGGCTGGAGGAGCTGCCTGCCCTTCTCTGCTTCACTGCAGAACAATAATTAACAGGAAGCAGGAGAAAATACTGGCTTGAGGTGTGACCACACGGCCACATGAAAATTCACCTCCCTTCACCTGAAATTATCCATCAACATTCAAGAATGACCAAAAGGCTTGATTCCTGAATGCCCCATTCAGGAGATTCACGTTGCAGCTATTCCCTGAATGTTTCTTGTTTGACTTTCAAAGCCAGGAGACTTCTAGACTCTTTTATAACAGATTATCTTCAGGGCTCTTTTTATCCGAGTCCTTTAAAAAAATGTAATGAAACATGTTAATATCAGTTCAGGCTGCAAGAAATCAGAGTCTTTTGAGATAGAAACCAGGAAAGGCATGGAGATTATTTCTGTAATATATCAAGAAATTCCTTAGCCTGTTCAGCAGCAGCACATCCTTTTGTGCAGGCAAAGCTTGACCAGCACAGCTTGGCAAGGATGTGACCTTGAGAGCTGTAGTTACAGCAGGAAATACAGTGAATCCCACCTTCGGCAACCTCTTGGGAACAGACAGAATTGCTCACTGAAGACAGGTAGCTATCTTTTATTCAGTGCATCTGAGATGACTAGTGATTGCTAAAAATGGAGCTAGCCTGGCAAGGTGGGGAAGGGAGTGGGGGAGATCTTTGTACAGAATTCACTGCCTAGTTTTTATAGCTCTGTTTCAGTGGCAGAATTCATAGAGCAGAAGGAGCGGGATACGCGAGCGGAGTACAATGTGTTACAGCACATAAGACAGCACGTCACAGTGCTAAAAATGCTGCAGAAAGTGGAGTGGCCCAGAGAGAAACAGGGCTTGTTGAGAGGCAGAGTTGGAGATCTTGCCTGGCAGAGGAGAGGTGTGCAGTTGGTGGGGTTAGGGTGGGTTTGGGTCCTGCAGGGATGGATTCTCATGGAAAACCTTCCCAGCCAAAGTGAAGGCTCCTGCAGCGTTCA